TGGTGCTATGAAAGAGTTTTTATTTTTACCTTGGTGCTTTGGTCATAATGGCTGGGAGAGCCATTACTGCCTGAAGAGAACATTAGGATTCCATAACTAGGATTGGAAGATCATTAACTCTTAAACTGGTTGGTATGATAAATGAGATAGTTTACACGTTGTAGGGTAGAGAGATGCTGGAACTGGATCCACTCTCTGCCACTTCCCCAAACAACACCCTACTTCTGGCTGTGACCAGGAGTCCAACTAGGTCCTCGGGGTTGAGAGGAAGCCAAGGGTCTGAACATGGACACACCACCCTGGGTCGATTATTCTGGGCGTAGCTACTAGGGCAAATTTCAAACCAGAAAATCTGTTTACAAGGCAGACCGCAGGTGACGCATGCGTGTTTTAACAGGAAGTCCAAACTCAATCAAAGACCTGGCACGTATATCCCTATGAAAGAAGGGGAGGAGTCTGATTAAGGTATTTAGAGTTTAGGGTTAGAAAGTCTAACTCTGGCCATTGGGTGGTGGTGAGGCAGAGGTGAGGACTGTGACACCAGGCAGGCAGGCCTCTTGCTCCTGGGGTTTTGGGTTAAAGATATATAAGTAGCACCCCCACCGGGGCTCTTTCCCTTTCCATGGGGTGCCTTGATCTTGGGGTAGGACAGAGCATGCGTGTGTGGGTAAGGAGGCTCAGTAATAAGGATTCCAAGATGCAGATATAGATAACCTATATTCTGCCCCTTTAGTAGCTGAGGCCCCTTGGGATTTCATGGTAACCCAGAGAAGACAAAGTCAATTTGTTCCCAGAATCTTAGAAGATTGTTTACTCTCAATGCTTGAGGGAACAGGCTATGTACATCTCAAGTGTGTCCCAAAGGGGGTATATTTTGATCGAGGCTTACATAATCGTATAAAGAGTGATCATGTATAAAAATATGAAACAAACCTCAACAGTAACAGGGCAGTTATGACCAGAGTTAGAATGGAAGAAACAAGCCAGTCAATGTCTCCTCACCTCCAGTTTTATCTTGGAGGCCTCACTTTATTTTCTCCTTAAGAAGCAGCAGCACCTGCCCATTAACAAGAAAGTTTTCTGGATAAATCTAAACTTTTCTTAAAACCCCAGGATATTTCTTGAATCTTTCCCTATATTTAGCAGCAGCAAATCAGATGAATACCAAAATTGTATAAATTTTACATGTTATTCAGAAGAACAGTGAAAATGAAATCTTTTAAGACCAAAGAAAGTGAATTATTATTGGATGATCCTGTTTGATAAACAAAAGAATGCAAATTGATTTGTGGCTGTGAAATAGAGCTAGTCCTTAAGAACAAAGAAGTAGTAAACCAAGAAGAGATTTACTCCAAACCCCAACTCCTTAAGCAGAGAGCCAAGAATAGTCCCTCAATTCTAGTCCAAGTTCCTCTTTCACCAACATTTTGCCTTCCCTCACAGTGTAATCCCCTCACTGCATAACTTCTCTACTGATGAAGAAAACAAACTCAGGATGGAGGAGGTGTGGGGGTTCTTCTCAAATCCTTAGGCATCTTACAGTACCCCTCAGTTACCAAACCTTCACATAGTACTTGTCCTGCTTATATGCACCAGAGCACAACATTGCATTTCTGAAGTGGGCACAGATGACCAGTGTCCAAGGATCTCTCCTGATTCCTGGAAAGGAGTTACAGAATTCTGGATTGGACCATGGCTTATAGTCAGTCAGTCATGTGGTGCCTCTCCTGAGGCACTTACACAACATAGGGCCATGTCCCCCAGACCCTCACCAAGACCCCCAGGACCAGAGCATCTACCCCACTGCTAAGGAGAGCAGCCAGGACCAGTCTTGAAGATTTAAAGTACACAACTGAATCCTGTCCCGGATGATACCTGGGATTCTAATGAATGAGGATTTCTAAAGCATTAAAAGTCTAGGAGTAGGATATGCAGTTCTGGTAAACTCTTGGGAGAACTCCAGCTGCCAGTATAAGCTCCAAGACCTATCGTTGATGATGATGTAGGTCCATTCACCACGGAGCTGTGCTCTAGAATGATTGACCCAGCTGGGAAGGCTCCTCGGGTTCACATAGGGTCACAGGATTTGGCTGGAGCCATCCAAGCCCAAACCCAGAGTATTTAGCCAAACAGAAGAGGAAGAGGTGATATCCAGCTGGCAAAAGATCAGGAGCTTCCATGAGCAATAGAGGCTTCTCCTCTCCATGCTCTCCTTTCCTCCATTCAGCAAACAGGTAGATGCCGGAGAGGAAAATATCCTTAAGGCCCTCACAAGAAGAGCTCAGAAAAAAGTGGTTCCAACCTGAAATCTGAGTATGATGACTGAGAACCACACAAGGTACCCTGAGAGCAAGGTGCAGGGACAATGAGCCCCATCTTTGTTGTCAAAGGCAGAGACTGAGTTGCATCTTGGAGAGTGAGTAGGAGTTTGCTAGCATGGACGTCTACTGTCACAAGTAGATGGTAGATGTGTATAAAAGAGGAGAGCCTGGAATGGAAAAGGGTTATTGGAAAGGTTTCTTTTTGACAGGAAGGGGCCCCATCTCCCAATTCCTTGCCCCTAACCTGTGGGCTCTACGCTGCTGCCACATGAAACTGCTTGCTCTTCCCCAAACAAGTATTTAAATACAGGAGTGGGCAAAAGTAAGCTTACAGTTGTACTACAGATAAATAATACAATAATTAATAAATAATAGTGCAAGAATAAACTCTGTGTTTTGCATTCTCACAGCTATAAACCTTCTTTTGCCCATCCCGTATGCATTCTATATTTGCTAGAGAAGTTGAATGATTTTTCAAATACCGATTTACCGTCCTTCAGGGGATTGCCGGATCTGTCTATTTTTCTGTTGTTTGCTTTTTTAATGTTTACTTGTGCCAGTTATTTACATATCCTGGACACTAATCTTTTGCCTTTTATATTTGTTGCAGATAAATTTTCCCTCACTCTCTTCTTGTCTTTGAACTTGTTTATGGTATATTTTGTAATTCAGAATTTTAGGTACTTCAGGTAGTCAAAATTATCCTTTTCTTTAAAAAAAAAAATCCCTACTTTGTGTGTCGGGTTGAATAACCCCTTCACTAACCTGACAACATAATAATCTTCTGTAGCTCGCCTAGTGAATTTGAAGTTTTGTCATCCCATCGGGCTTTAATACACCTGGGGTTACATTTGGCATGAGACCGTGATCTAACTGGCTTTTCCCAGTAAGAAACCCGTTATCACAGCATCAGAAATTGAAGGGTTTATTCTTCCTCCTCAATTTGAATCACCTCTTTCACTCTATAGCAAGACCTCACGTGGGCTGAGGTCTAGGCCCTCAGCTCTACCCTGTTGACTCTGCTGTTGTGTCATGTCTCATGCATACGGGGTTGTTATGTCTGATAGGGCAAGCTTAGCTCTTCTTTTTCATAATTGTCCTGATGACTCTTAAACCTTTCATCTTCATTTCATTTTTAAAGTCAGTTTTAGAGTTTTATAAAACATTCTATCAGAATTCTTCCTAGAATTGAAGTTATAGATTAACTTGGGTAAAGTGAGATGATATCCTTATGATACGGAGTCTTCCACTGTAGGACCATAACATTCTGTCTGACAGACATATCTGTCTAGATATGGGGCAGAGAAAAATAAATTCTCCTCGTAGAGCTGGAATACATTCAATGAGAATTCTTAAGGATATTGTACCATGAAGAGGAAGGCATAAAATCTACTTTGCACAGATTTGTCTTAAGTATCTATAAAATAGTCTGAAACAAAGAAAAATAGCCACAAATAACTCTCGAGAAGCTAAAATTAAGGCAAATGAGTGCATAAAAAACAAAATTAATCTGAAACCAGTGGAAAATGTTTGCAGTAGAAAAATGTCAGACTAAAAGGAACAAACTCTAACCTCAACAATTATTAGAATGACAGGCAGAAATGCAGAGCTCAGCTGAAACAGATCCTTAAGTGAAAGCAAAGAGACATCATAGCTACAGAAAAGAGTGGGTTACAAGTGATATGCTCTCTTCAGGTATACTTTCTTACTTCTGTATTTTGTTTTCCTTCTTTTCCCCAAGCTAAAAAAAAAAATTCTTGAATTTCCATGATTTGTTATTCATTTCTTGCCTAATTTTTTAATTAAAAAAAAAAATGGGTTAGAATAGAGAAACCTACTAAGAAGTCACTGCAACAGATTGAGTACGAGCACTATGAAAATACTTATAAGCTAAATTGAAGCCATAATAAATAGTATCGGTAAAACAGAAGTCAACCTTGGGAAATAAAGAAGCCCCTTCCAGACCTAAAATTCTATAATTTCGTGTGCCCTAGAGAATATTTCTCTCTTTTTCCGGTAAGGGCTTCCTTTTCAATAAATAAAAGTCTGTGTGGTTTTAATTTATTTATTAGAATGACTAGTTACATTAGATTTCCTTACATGTTGAACTATCGATACATCCTGAAATAAGCTTTGCCAATTAATTAATTATTATTCTTTTGGATTCTTGTTGGATTTATTTTTCTAATATTTTCTTTAGAAATTTTGCCTCTATACTTATAAATGAAATTGGGCTGTTTTTTTGAGGAGGGGGTTTGTTTATCTGTGTTTGTTTGGGCATCTAGTTTAAGCTAATTTCATTTAAATGAATTGGAGTTGCTGTTTTTCCCGTATCAAAGGGGTAATTTAAATAGCACACAAAAAATAGTTTCTTAAAGATTTGAAACTAACCTGTAAGTCTGGTTGAGCCCAGGGTTGGTTGGTTGGTTTGTTCATTTTTCAGTGTATGAGTGTGTGGCATGGGAGTGGGAAGAGGTGGGAAGTGTGGTAAAGGGAGTTCTTTAACAAAAAATTTAAGAACTCTAACATTTCAAATAATTTCCAAATTTATAGAAGTTTCAGATAATGAGCCTAATTAATGGATAGATCGAATATCAATTAATAGAATATGAAGAGAAATGATAAGAGGTAAAGACAAATGAACACCTGATTAAGTAATGTCTGCTTTCATTTTCCTAGATCAGGAAGTGTGCTGCACCACTGGAATGAGATCTATTACTTTGTGGAACAGTTGGCTCATAAGTTCATCAGGTGAGAAACACATGTATAGTTCGCCATGAGCAACACCAGCCAGTATTTGCTATTCTACAGATTACTAACTGCTTCGGGAGTGCTTTTGGACAAAGATAGACTCTCAGATCTTGGACGAGACTTTGTTTTAATATTTGCCACATATTAGAATGACTATTGGCTTTGTGTTTTCAAGAGGACCCCAATTTGATTTAAGACCAAAATTTTCACTTTGTCCCTCCTTTGTTGAATAATATATTCTTCTAGAAGGATAATTAACATGCTCTTGAACAGTGTATCAAGCTGAAGCAATTGGCTCATTCTAAGAGGGAGTGCAAGGTGTGTGTAAAATGACCAATCCATCCCAGTTTTCCCAGAACTTTTCCAGTTTTAGCACTGAAAGTCTCACATTCTGGGAACTCCCTCATTTCTGGGCTAACTAACTGTGTGCCCTATCAGGCAGAATTCTTAACATCACTCTCCAAGAGGGCAATGCAGTTTTAAACACCGTCACTATAAACATTGCAGGGACCTTAGAGGTCCCACTTTGTAATAAGTATAGACACCAACTAGTAAAGGAAAGGAGGTCATTTCACCCCTTAGGTGCAGCCTCCAAGGGATAAACAAGTGTGATAGCTTTCATGGAGGTGCTTGATGTCAGCTGTCAAGGTCTTTGGTACAATTGTTTCCAATTGTAAATTCTAAGGCAGCTCTTTTCTTGCTGATGGCCTCTGTAGAGTCTTCCAGCCAATATGAGTACCCATATACTTTTTTGAATAAAGTCCTTTTGTCTCAGAAGATAAGTTCTCCTCTGAGACCAGGATAATGGCAAATGTATACGCTGCAAAGCTGGTTGCTGATCTCAACATGTACCTGCCTGCCTGATTGGAGGGAGGTGCCCTCTCCGTGATACCAAAAATTGGAAGCTACAGCAGGAAGAGGCATCTAAACCCAGATGAATGAGAAAAACTGATGCTGAGAGGAGAGAAGGGTGGGGGAAAAGCAGAGAGAAAGGAGAGAAGCAGATACATTGGTGGTATTAAATGCAAAAGAGTTAAAAGAATCATAGAAACTTAGAATTGAAAAGAACAACCTACCAACTTCTGTGTCCTAAGAGGCATTCATTCCCAACTTGAATAGCTCTGGTGAGAAACTGCTGCCTTTTGAGGCAAACAGTCCAACAGTTGAACAATTCCAGTTTCCAGAAAAGTGTTGTTGTTTTTTGGTCATTGAGCCAAAATATCGTTTCCTGCGCTTTTATCCATTGATCCTTTGGAGTGATAGAAAATAAATCTGCCTCCAGACACTCAACAGTATCTCCTATGTCTCTGCCCTTCTAGCCTTCTGTTCTGCCGCAGCAGAGGAGTCTACTGGGAAAAGCTTTGAAGTAGGGCAGATGTGGATTTGAATCTAATCTCCATTGTGCAACCACAGTAATTAACTCACCTCAGCTGAACCCTAGTTTACATGTAAAAATTACCGGAGAAAACATGTGCAAACCAGCTAGCCCATTACCGGATTTAGAGTGGGTACTCGACACCTCTCTTCGCCAGTTCCTTCAGCAATTCCAGACACTTAAGTATCTTAGAATCAAAGAAAGTTAGAGGTAGGGGTTCAGAGAGCTATGCGACCACTTAATCCAAATCCTCTCATTTTATAGATAAGGAAACTGAGGACCACTGTGGTTGGCATGGCTTAACCCAGACCACAAGGCACTTTCTTCTGGTCGTCTCCTCTGGTCCTCCCGGCAAGTGGAACTCCTCAAAGTGTGGCAGTCTTTGAGATTCAAGTATCCCCCTTGTTTCAGGCCAATCTCTGAATCTTAGTCCGTTTTATCCCATTGTTTCCAATCTCCTCCATGTCTTTATTTCTTTTTTGTGTTTTCTCTACCTTTCCCTGGCTCCATTTCCACTATTGATAGACATAAACTAATCTCTCCCGCCCCTCGTCTAAAAAAGAGAAACACCAGATCTCTTGATCATGTCTTCCTGTAGATACTAACCTATTTCTTTACCAGTTTCTCACTGAGCTACACTTAAAGACTCGCTGTCTCTCTGTCCTTAACTTCCTATCCATCCCTTAACCCACTGCCATCTGCCTGTTATCCCCACCCGCCAGCTGCTTGCTCTCGCCCACGGCACCAAGTGGCGCCCTGGGGGGCAGGGCCAGTGAGCACCCTGCAGGGCTGCTTCTGCTGGGTAGAGGAGCCTCCTTTGAATCAGATTTCTCTTTCCTTGAAATTCTCTCCTCTGGCTTCTAGTTCTCCTTTCGTCTCACTGACCAGAGCCAAGCCCGTAAATGCTGATGTTGGTTTTAAATTTGGCTCGCATCCCTTCTCACTGATGACACTTTCTTTGAACAGTTTTATTCACATCAGTATGCTGAGAACTCCCAAATTATGTCTCTAGCCCAGACTAATATTCCAACGGCCCCTTGGAGACCTACATTTCCCACATTTAAAATTTATTCTGCCCGGCCGGGCGTGGCTCAGCAGTTGAGCATCGACCTAGGATCCAGGCGATCGGGGTTCGATTCCCTGTCAGGGCACACGCCCGGGTTGTGGGCTCGATCAATGACTCTCATCATTGATGTTTCTATCTCTCTCTCTCTCCCTCTCCTNTCAATGACTCTCATCATTGATGTTTCTATCTCTCTCTCTCCCTCTCCTTTCCTCTCTCTAAAATCAATAAAGATATATTAAAAATAAGATAAAATAAAATTTATTCTTTCCAAAAGCCAAACTCTATATNTCTCCTTTCCTCTCTCTAAAATCAATAAAGATATATTAAAAATAAAATAAAATTTATTCTTTCCAAAAGCCGAACTCTATATCAGGGAGACAGAATATTATAGTGGTTAAGAGCCCAAGTTCTAGAATCAGAATGTGTGGTTTTAAGCTCCAGATCCACCACTCTCCCAATGGGTCTCAATATTCTTTTGTGTAAAAATAGGAATAATAATAGCACTGACTTCATAAAGTTGTTCCAAGTTTAATGAGATAATACAAGCAAGTATTATCTCNAGCACTGACTTCATAAAGTTGTTCCAAGTTTAATGAGATAATACAAGCAAATCACTTACAGCAGTGCCTGGCACATAGTAAGCACTTGATAAGTTTGGCCACAATTAGTATGATCATTATTATTGTTATTCAGGACATGGTATCTTGCTGGGCTAGCACTGGTGAGGTAGTAACAGGCAGCCTCTGTTATGCACAGAGAAACCAAGTCTGTTTCAAGAAACCAATATCCAATACACTAGGTATTGCTTGGGCTCCTACCAAGCATTAAATACCATGTTAAAGGTTTCCAAAAATGCTTCAAACATATAGTAGGTAATGAGTGTAGACTTTATCCTGGAGGCAGTAGGAGCCATTAGAGGTTTGATTGCTAATGATTGACAAAATCTGATTTCTATTTTGGGAAGATAATTCTGGAAACAGTGGAACAAGGAATGATGACACGCAAGTCAGCCCTTGGCAATAACTGCAGTGGTCAAATAATTGAGGGCAAGTTCCTAAGCTAAGAAATGAAAAAAAGAGAGACAGATTTGAGAAATATTTAGGAAGTGAGAACTATAAGAATTGGAGCCAGATCAGGTCTGGGAGGTTATTGCATTGTGAAGAAATAGGCTGGTGCTGTGATGCGTGAACCAGCTGGCCGCCCAGAGAGAGCCCCCCAGGATGGCATTCTATTGGTGAATCTACGGCAGTCCGACAGTCCATCCCGCAGACAGAGAAGCATGTTTGGTCCTTAGCTGAGAGTTGTTCTGACTCCCAGAACATGTAAAATTTGTCAGTTTTACATTGACAAAGCTCCTAAGTACAGCCATACTAAAATCATGCCAGTGTAGTCATTAATAATGAGAGGTATAACTACCAAGTGGATTAGATATTCTTGTGGCCCATCAGACATTCTCTACTTATAGGATAACGTCCTTGGGAAGCCAAGTAGAAATTAAAAGCTGATCGTGATCCTGCTTTCAGAGCAAAAGGAGTTCATGTGTGATCTTAATGGCTGATAGGATCAAGCTACAACACTCAGACACTCTCTTCCTTTATAGGACATACCAGACGACTGCGGAGACACTATCAAATTTTATCTATCGGGATCCCCTTTTTATAGACACCATGCAGGCCAGTCCTCTTCTAGGGACACATTTCTTCAGACAGAGAACAGGCAGTGATGAATTTTAGCTTCCTTCCTTATAATCCGCACTCACTGAGTGGTGGTGTCAAATCAGAACCAGCCTCCAGGCAGACAACGTGGGTCTTCTCTTTGGTCCATAGCTTCAGTTCTGCTGCTGGCTAAATACTTACACCAACTGTGGAAGTCCCTTGGGTTGTAGGTCCTCAGTTTTGGCTGCTGTGATATAAAGGGAAGGGCAAGGACGAAGCCTGGAAGAAAATAGCATTCCAGTCTTTTTATCTGCCCTAATAGAATTTCTTTTCCTTTCCAGCCCACAGCTAAGAATGTCCTTTATTGTCTTCTCTACTCAAGGAACAACCCTAATGAAGCTAACAGAAGACAGGTAAGGATGCCCATCCTTGTCATAAAAATGTTCATCTTTTCTTGAGTAGTTCTCCTATTTCTGCCCTACTGCCAACCTTGACCTATCGGTCATTTTAATCTAATAGTTCTCTATTTTCACTTAAGCCTTGAACTTTGCACATTGACCCATCTGCTAGTTTACTCTGCGATGATTTTGATAGAATTTCCTGATGTTGGTGAAATTTTATAAATGACTAAATTACATTAAGGTAAATCTTGCATTTGATTGGTGACTTGGCCTGCTAACTTGGAGCAAAATATTAGCAAACCCAATTCTTGGGGGACATTTATTTAAATTAGATTTATTCTGTGGGTTAAGGTTTCAGGCGTATAACAAGCACACTGAAAGAAGTAAGAACTTGAACTATTGTAATACATAATTACTAAGGCAGGGAATAGAAAGGGAGGGTTTACGATACCACAAAACAAAAGGAAATTTGAATCAGATGTGGAAAAATGTTGTTGACATAAAAGGATTAGTTAAACATAGCTTAACAAAAATATTATTTGGGGTTTTACCACCTGCAGATGAAAACTATCGATAATAGAGATGTCATTTATTCAGTTGGGATGGCATATTGAGAGTGGAGATGACAGTTTTGAGTTAATGATACTTTGTCTACTCTTTAAAAAGTAAAATGGTCCCCATGAGAGAAGCACCATGGGGGGAACACATGTGGGACTTATATATGGACATGTTGGAAAAAGGGAAGGCGGTTAAGTCTAAGGAGGGCAGGAAGACTTTATTCCATAATATTTTTCTTCTAAAACTAACTAACAGGATGGAGTAAGGTGTCTGGATTTTGCGCCAACACAGCAAATCAGGGCTAGTCCTCATTTTTCTCTATGTCTTTGTTTCCCATTTGTAACAAAAAGAATACTCCGTGCCATCTAGATGCTTTCAAATCCTGTTTTTCTTTCAGCAGTATCTTTTATATGCATGCATGCCATTTGAGATGCACAGAAACCCCATTTTAAAATCAGGAGTTTCTGCCCTGGCTAGGTGGCTTAGTTGATAGGAGCATCAACTCATGCAGCAAAAGGTTGCCGGTTCAATTCCCAATCAGGGCACACACTTAGGTTGCAGGTTCAATCCCCGGTTGAGGCGCTTATGGGAGGCAACCGATTGATGTTTCTCTCTCACACTGATGTTTCCCTCTCTCTCTCTTCCCCTTCCTCTCTCTCTTCCCCTTCCTCTCTCTCTCTGAAGTCAATTAAAACATATCCTCCAGTGAGGATTTAAAAAACAAACAAAAAGATAGGAATTTATTCCTTATTAACAGAAGGAGAAGCTGAAGCCACATCTAGTCCTAAGGATACCAAGCAGAACCCACACTGGTCGCAGGCCCCACATTTTCCCACTCTGTTTTGCTGCCTTATGTTAATAAACAGAGAATCACAAAGCCCAATAAACCTGTGTGACATTTTTTAAACATTGGCCAAAGATTTTAAGAAGCTCTGAGAAAGTGTCTCTAGTCCTTGGGTTACATTCAAGACTCCTAATCTTTCTCAGGCTTTGAATGGTGGCGTCCGTTATGCGGAGATGTCTTTTATTCAGAGAAAACTTCCCTCTCACCCATTCCTCACATTTCCTACAACCCGAGGCTGCCTAGCACTACTTCATGGTGACTCCACTTACTCCATGCCTAAGAGTTCCGCCAAGAGACCAAGTTCACACATCACATCCCTTGTGGATATTTTTGGTGCTATTGCTCACAGCCTCTGGGAAGTTGGGGAGGGCAAAGGGAGGGTCACAGATTTATAAACACTAATGGGGCACTTAGGTTTTCAGACCCATTTTGGTTATGCTAGTTCAAATTACCCATCTGAATCCTACTTTCAATCTAATTGTTTGTGCCTTAACTTCACTATCCTTAGTTTCCTGTGCCAAGGAGAAGACAGAGGTTAGAATCTCCCGTTTGCTTGAGATTTAATATATAAGGGCTGCTAATGTAGCAAACAACTGCCAGAAAAGCTTTCCTAAAGGCTGTAAGGATTTCATGTGGTGGCTGCTTAGCCTAACCTAGGGATCAACTTACAAGGCATAACATGGTTTACTGACACATCCCTAACCTTATCAGCCTATGTGAAAATGTGGGCAAGCCATCTCTCTCTAGGATACTTTCAGCCTAAAAGAATTAGGCTTTCAGAACTTCCAAGCTGGTCCAAGCTGGACTTTCATTGTTTTAAGTTGGTCACAGGAATTTGTATATATTTTTTCTATATCCCATTTGACCTTCACAACATCCCTATAAGACAGTAAAAGATGCATTATTATATGTAATAATTGAGGAAACATACAGTTTTAAAAACTTGTTTAAGAACAAAACATGAATTAGCAGAGACTCTCATTTCAACAAGAGCAAATATTTGGGGTAAATCAAAAGAAATAATATCAAAGGTATATTTGTATCCAATTCTTGGGGATCAAATCACATAGGGGAAACTATGAGAAGGTTGAAAAAGTAGAATGGAAAATAAATATAATGTGACAAAATGTAGATTTACTGTTTGAATAATAACTATCATTTGTGTCTTTTATCTGCTAAGCACTTTATGTACTATTTCTTATCTACCTCTATACAACCATTATTGCTTCAATTTATAAAGCAGTCTCTGGTAATTTGTTTGATTCATTGTTTAATGTGTAATATGCCATTTTTCACTATCTGTTTTCAAGATTATTTTTTATCCTTAATTCTCAGCAGTTTGACTGAGTGTCTGAGCATGGTTTTCTTTGAGTTCATCCTATTTTGGCTTTGCTGAACTTCTTGAATCCATAAATTTATGTCTTTCACCAAATTTGGGGAATTTGCTGCATATTTTGTATATGCTAGTCATTTTCTCCTCTCCTTCTGGGACTCCAATGGCACAAGTATTAGACCTTTTGATATGATTCCACATGTCCCTGTTCAGTTCTTCTTCAATCTTTCTTCTTTCTCTTCTTCAGATTACATTATTTCCATCGATCTATCTTCATGTTCACTGACTCTCTCCTCTGTCATCTCCACTCAGCCATTGAGCTCATTTATTTAATTTAATTTTTTACTGCAGATACTGTGTTTTTTAGTCCCAAAATGTCCATTTGGTTGTTTTTAATTTTTTTATTTCTCTGCTGAGAACTTTTATCTTTCTATTTATTTTTTGTGTGTTTATCATTACCTCATGCAACATAGTTATTATAACTGCTTTAAGTTCTTTATTAATTCCAACAGCTCAGGATTCCCATCTTATTTGTCTTCTCCCTTAAGAATTGGTCACATATTCTAGGTGCTTTGTATGTTGAGTAATTTTAGATTATATCCTAGAAATTTGTAATATTATGTTGTTCAGATTCTGAGTCATATTCAAATCCTCTAGAAAATGTTGATTTTTTTTTCTTTGCTTGCTTTAGTAAGAAATCACCCTGGTTAGATTCAGACCACAAGTTCTATCACTTCTTCTGTGGGTGGTGGTTTTTATTTTGGTTCCATTTTTAAAAGCTTTGCTAAGCTGCATTGGGTCTGTCCTCCACATGTGCAGCTCAAGATGAACCTGGGACTTACACAGCTTCATACACAGAATTAGAGGTATCCCCTTCTCCAGCTCTGTCCTCTCCAGAATTCCCCAGCACTGTCTTACCCACTGAGGCCCCTCTTTCCAAGTCCTCTAGCAAGAAAAATGAGGTTTCTCCTGGAGTTTTGGCCACCACATTGCTGTGTATAGTTCTCTACTAAGGCCACCCTTGGGGCAAAACCAGGAGTAACACAAGAGAAATAAAAATGGAGATTCTCTCCAAATTCTTTGAACCACAAGTTCCCCTTTCGCCAGAGGTCAGAAATATGGGGGCTTCTGGGCCTTTTAGGTGACATTCCAGGCCACTGCCATGTACTGAGACCCATACTCAGGTTAAAGACATGAGAGAAAAGGGCAAAACAAAATTTGAATTCATCTATGTGTAAGTGGTTTCTCCAAGTTTTAACAGACTGCCTTAATCCACCTGCTTTGTTTACTTTTCAGAGCCCTTGTATGTTTGCTTTTTTATTTTGTGCAGAGTTTTGTTATAATCAGCCGGAGAGATGGCTAGTGACAAGTTTGCTCCATTTTACCTGCTGTTTACTTTAATTTTACAGGTAGTGACACTGAGATTTAGAAAATTTAGATAACTTGCTAAAGGCAAATAATAAAAATGGCAGAACTAGTATTCTGATTCTGGATTCTGTCCAACTCATGTGCTTTGCATTACATCATGTTGCTCTTCCAAGATTTCTTAGCTTCATCAGTTTGCAAAGCAATTGACAAATTTTAACAAATTTTTTAGGCTTCTTCATTAGCACAATAAAGGATATAATGTTAATTTAAGTACTCTTCAAATTAATCATTTTAATGTTAATTATTGCATATAATTTCCTTAAAACTCCCTGCATGTCTTTTCCTGATCTTAATTGAAATACTTTGAATGTTTCATCATTGGAAATGAGATCATGTCAAGGAAGTCCAACAATTTAAAAGAAATCAGGAATAGATATTAAATTTAATCAAATGCATTTTTGGCAGTTATTGAGATGATCATATTTTTTCTTTGACCTACTAATACAGTGAAATGCATTAAGAAGGTTTTTGTATATTGGATCATTCTTGCATTTATGATTACACTTGGTTGTAATATATTATTATTTTAATGTAGAGCTGAATTCTATTTCTGTATTTTATTCAGAAATTTAGCACCAGTATTCATTATTGTGAGTAGGCTGTTATTGTCCTTTTTATGACTATCTTTACTTACAGTATATTCTGTAATTTTTTTATGTTTAGCTGATTACTTCTATAATTTTTTCTGATGTATGGGATAAGGCCAAGATGAATAATTTTTTTCTCCAAGTGTTTAGCCAATTTTTCTAGCACCATTTGCTGAATTGTCTTTTGCTACCAATGTGAAAACTTAAACCCTTTCATAAACTTGGGTCCACTGCTAGGTTTTCTATTCTGATGTAATACATT